GGCATTTCATATCAGTCCTCAGGGGTGACAACGCATCTGCGTTTTGATTCCTAATCGAGGATAAATGTAGATGTCTATGGGCCACAGCATACACTTACCATCAGATGGACTGTGTGCTCGTTTGTCACCCTTACACTATAAAAAAAATTTAGATTAGAAATAGATAGACCAAAATACAAATATATATTAGTTATTATGTTTTATACGGATATTATTAAAGTAAAAGAATTAAAAAAGATAAAAATGTGTAAACAATTTAAGAACACTACTGAGGCATTGTTTTGTGTATCGGTGTCTCGAAAATCCCGAAACACAACGTCAAGCGGGTACCGGGCGAAAGGTGCCATTACTGTTTTGGTAAGAATAAGAAAAAAAATCCATGTGTCTTTGTTAAGTAGTTATGGTGTGTAGTAATTGGCATAGTGTTGAAAATGTTAAAAATCGTCAACTTTTTATTTTATTTTAAATGCAGCTTTTCAATGATTATAATTTATGATGACACGTTACGATTAGTTCACCTCAGTTCCAACTGGCTACATTTGGTGAGCGAAAGACTATCAAAATTTCCGCCATTGTGCGAGACGCCTGACACTGCAATCGTCAATCCGTCAAGTCAATTTTTACCAATCATCTCTACTACAGAAAGGCTCATGTCGCCTTATTGTGGACTGATTAATGGACAGCATATCTAAGTCCACTGCTAAACACAGGCCTACGTCATAGGTTGCCTCGTAGTGGGAATATTTGCTATAGTTGCTGGCAAACGGGTTGGCAATTGCAGTCTTTTCTGCTCATCCCCTAATTTTTTTCCATTCTGTCGCCTCTTAGGACACCCACTGGGTGACATGGGTAGTACCTACATAATATTCCTATACCGTCGCTGCTTGATTAAAAGTAAATGAGAAGGAAAAAAATCAAATTTATTAATAATATATATATATATATATATATATATATATATATATATATATATATATATCTTATACTTAAATTAATATATATCAATATGTAATGTATTAAAGTGTTTGGTAATGATTAGTAATTTTGATTTTTTTTGGAAGAAGTGGTTAAAAATTTATTCATATTAAAATGAAGAATGTCAGTAGATTTTTAGGATGTGCGTTAATTATGCTAATGTTATATAAATATCAAGTTTAAAAGAAATTTAAGTAATTTAAGAAAAAGATTTTCAGATTTTTTCTTTATTTATAAAACGTCGGGAAGGTTGGGGAGCACATTTGTCGTAATAAAATGCTATAAAATCCTCAACGGAAAAGTAAATACGTTCGTAAAAACTATTATTCAGGCATATTATTCGATCAGTCTAATAGCAGGTCGCGTGTAATTTCAAAAACTGTTCCCCCATAGCTGAGTGGTGTATGTAAGACGTGACACCGGAATTTCATATGCATATTTGATATAATCGAGCCGGGATATTTGCCTTCAGCGTCGAATAGGACGTAACCGAACCATTTACGGCAAAATTTCAGCTTTACTTTGCTTATTGAATTTTCAGGTAAAAGTATAATATTATGTCAAAGAATGTCATCGGCCTTTAGAAACCCCATCGTTCTTACTACGGTACGTTCGTTTTGAATGCCTTGTATTCCAATATCAATATTTGTACGATTTATTATTTTTACGATATATTAATAAAAAGTTTCTAGCACTGTTGTATCCAAGCCCATTTCAATGTTATTGTAATAACTATGCGGTCCAGGAGAGCGAGCTCAATGCAAACGCAGTGCGGCGCGGAGCGACTTCATATTATACTCTATTGGGGCAACACGAATATTGTAGGCTAAACAATACTAAGGCCTTAGCAAAGTAGATTTTAGAAAGTGCTAATTTGGTAGCCAAATTAACGTACGTAATAGCAGTCCACACTTGGTTACGCTATTCTACATTCCACCTTTGTCGCTGCATGTATCTTGACATGAACGATGTTATCGGATGCGATTTTTAATAGTAAACTTGTTTTAATGTAAAACTTGCACAGGGAGTAATTCGGCAAAAGCGCTACGTTCTGATAGTATTTACTACAAACTACAATAATTAACGTCGAAAGTAACATTTCAATTTTAAATTTTATAATAAACATCACTTTTTTTAAGGAAGGACAGATAAAAAGATGTAGCAACATTGAGTACCTAACCACGTGACAAAATGTTTTATTTCCGGAATACTAACATAATGTATAAACATAATATAATGAGGATACACAACAAAGTTTAATTGAGTTTAAATCATCACATTTTTACGTGGTAGAGCCATGCTGCAAGCCTTTATATTAGTAGTATAGTTAGTAGCACGAATGGGTCGGCTCGACCGAGGAAGGACCACGCTCTCACAGAATACCAGCGTGAAATAGTAGCTTAATGCTGCTGTATTTCGTATGGTGAGTGTAGAGAACCGGAGACCCTTTTTACTGGAAATGGAGGCATTCCATCTCAGTCCTCACGGGTGACAGCGCATCTGCATTTTGATTTGTAATGCGAAGATAGATGTAGCATGTCTATGGGCCGCAGCGACCAGTTACCATCAGGTGGAAAGCTGTGTGCTCGCATTTGTCACCGCTATCCTATAAAGAAAAAACACATCCATCTTTTACATGTCAACCAGAATGCAAAAGTAATAACCCGGGTTCAATACAAGAGCAGGACCTGGCGGGCCGTGTCATAATTAACTGGAGCGCGGGGACACGCGCCATGAGTAAACAAAGATAGTAAAACAACACGAAACAACTGTACAATATCGACAGCTTGTTATGTTTGAATTGCTTTAATATATAAGTTGCTCACTGGATGCATATGGCTAGAACCATGTTTTATTGCAATCTATAAGGGAGGCCTATGTTCAGCTGAGAGTTTTAGATGGACTATAATTATAATGAAAAATCTAAAATAATTACCATCCAGCGGTGATACAACCCTTTGCGGCTTGTGGCCTCCTCGTCGATCTTCCACTTCGCTCTGCTTCGGCCACATCCATACACTCAATTCTTTCAGCGATTTTTGGGTTTTCCATAAAAAAATTTCCGTGTCGTATCGTAAATAATAGTTTGCAAGACAACCTTGTGATCAGAATTAAAAACGGAAAGGTTGCTGTGGTTTCGACACGTAGATAGAATGAATAATAAATGAGTGACAAAGCCAATTTATGCTGCAAAAATGAATGGCAGAGTCGGCTATCAACCAAGTTGACGATATATTGAATATGGGCCAAATTAAGAGTAACTAAAACTGACGAGCATGTATGCATAGATATATGGATGTGAAAGATGCGAGAAAAGTCTGGTAAGATCATGCGAAACGAAAGTCCGTAGCCTCTTCCTACCTTTCTTGGTGACAGGCGTGAGAGTTTATGTGTTATACCATTTTTATACTACACAATAAACTTGTGTAATACAGGTGTAAAAGAATCCACTATCTAAATTCTAAACCATATCACCCCGTGGGTGTCAGAAAAGGGGACTAAAGGAATCTGAAACACAAGATTTGTGTAGCATTTTCTTGTTAACAACTCAAAATAATATAAAACTACATTTTACCCTATAAAGCAATCTATGGGAAATCATATTGTAAGAATTGTTCGGATTAATTCCATCTACATAATATATATACACGAAGTTATAGTGTTTATCCATTTTGCATATTATTTATTTACATAACTAATATATATATAGTATGCAAAATGGATAAACACGAACTTCGTGCGAGATTCTGCCTAAAAAAAAATTTCCACTAAAAGTGTTTCCAAAAAACTGTAGTCTACTTTGGCAGACAATGCTCCGTCTCATTCTATAGTGGCATACTGGTGCGCTGAATTTAAATGCGACAGAACCGCCTACAATGACGCCGTTCAATATCTGCCGCTACGCAAGAAAACGTTAAAAAAATCGAGGATATTTTTAAGCTACATCGACGTCTGACCATTCGCTTTCTTTGGAACAATTCAGTTTATTTTAACTTATACCTTAAAATTCAAAAAGGTGGCCACATACAGGGTACCAAGAATGTTAACAGACGTACAAAAGAAAGCAAGAGTTGACATTATTAACGACAGTAGCCTAATGGCAGGGCGCGGACCGCGAACTCAAAAATGTCGTGGGTTTGAATCCACCATTCGACTACTGGCGTGAACCACTCGTAACACAAGCAATTTAAGCTTACCACGAGTGGTTAAGGGGAATATTAGTAATGTTTATAAGCATTGTTAATATTCTTTTTTTTTAAAGAGTTGACATTTCGTAGCTAGATTTAGTAATAATTGAAGAAGATCCAAATTATTTTTGCGTTCAATTAGTAACCGTAGATGAAACGTGTGTACAACATTTTGACCCGGAGACGAAACACCAAAGCAAGCTGTGAAAAAGACCGTCTTTCCCGCAAGCCAAGACATTCAAATAACGGCCTTTGTCTTTTGGGATGCGGAAGGTATAATAATCGACTATTTAAGTAAAGAAGAAACAATAACCGGAGATTATTATGCATCATTAATCATAAAACTTCGCGAAGAACTAAAGAGCAAATCTCGAGGAAAATTGCGTGCTGAAGTGCTTTTTCATCGTTATAATGCCCCTGCCCATCGATCTGTTGTTTCAGGCGCTGTCATCTGAACTGCTGGGCTTCAGTTGATACAGCATCCACCGTATTCTCCGGGTCTAGCTCTGAGTGATTTTCACTTTTTTACTCACTTGAAAAAGCACTTGCGTGGCATAATAATAATAATAATAATAATAATAATAATAATAATAATTGGATGGGATGAGGCTCCTCAGGCGACAGACCAGCTGCCACGCGTAGAAGCCGCCATGGATCTTCCAGTTGTGGGTGATTCAGACGATGATGAAATGGTCTCCCACGAACTAGAGCAAATGAGAAGTATATTGGAAGAGGCGATTTTAGAAACGCGCAGCATGCCTCTCGAAAATCGACCGCGACTTCCCCCGCATACCCCTAAGCAAGCGAAATCGGGCTGTCGTGAGGGCTCTTAACCCAATGCTGGTAACCTATTTGGAAGCCAGCCGGGACCTTTGCGAGACGGACTCAGTTCTTTTTGGCGCCGCAGTGGCAGCTTGCCGTATTATTGGCGCCAAACTTCCCATGGCTGGACGCGCTACTAAACAAAGTAGCGCCATCCCAGCCTGGAGAAAAAGAATTGAGGTCCGTATCGCAAAGGCAAGGGCCCTTATCGGCAGACTGATAAGCTTCAGGTCGGGTAATAATAGACCGAGGGTTGTGCGCACCGTTAGAATGGCGTTTGCTGGGACAAATATCAGTTTGTCCCAGCCGGATATCACGCAGAAACTAACGGAGCGCATAGACGACCTGAAGCAAAAGATTGCCGCTTGGGGGAAGCGGATTCGCCGATTTACCGAGAGGTCAAGGCGGTTCAACCAGAATCGTCTCTTCCAGAGTGATCAGAAGAGGCTCTACAAATCATTGGAGCGACCAGAGGTATGTGGAGCGGGCCCAGGACCGGATCAGGCTAACACTGTCGCATTTTGGCGTGGCCTGTGGTCAGAGCCCGTAAACCACAGCGAGGGCCCTTGGACGGAAGTTGTGGCGAGTCAGTGTGCGAGTATTACGCCCATGGACCCCGTCATCATAACGCCGGATGACGTAGCTGAGGCGGTCCGTAGAGCCCCGAGCTGGAAAAGTCCGGGACTCGACGGACTGCATCACTACTGGCTGAAGGGGTTCATAGTGTGTCACGCTGTGCTCGCCCGTCAGTTTCAAGAGGATCTCAACCAGAAGTCGCTCCCTAGCCTCTTCACTACTGGGATCACTCACTTGGTTCCTAAAAACCAGGTTACCACAGACCCGAGCAAATACCGCCCTATTACGTGTCTACCCACCATATATAAGACACTGACATCCATTTTGAGCGCGAGAATCACTCGTCACCTGGAGCTAAATCAGGTGATGTCACGCGCTCAAAATGGATGTCGGGGCGGTGGTCGTGGAACTAAGGAACCACTCCTCATTGACGCGGTCATTGGCAAAGTGGTGAAACGCAACCGTCGGAACTTCTCCGCCGCCTGGATAGACTACAGAAAGGCATTCGACTCGGTGCCCCATACATGGCTAAAGAGAGTCCTCGAGCTGTACAAGATAGACTGTACAGTGAGAGACTTCCTCGAGCAGTGTATGGGGCAGTGGAGTACGATCCTTTGTCATCTGGGTGAGCGGATGATGGCTGCGGAGAACCACATAAGGATAAGAAGGGGTATCTTCCAGGGCGATTGTCTGAGTCCAATCTGGTTCTGCCTCTCCCTGAACCCTCTCAGTACCTTACTGGAGGGATCCGGGAGAGGATTTCAGCTACGGAAAGGAGGGACAAATGTGACCCACCTTTTCTATATGGATGACCTTAAGTTATTCGCCTCCAGTCGCTCCCATCTTGTGGAATTGCTAAAAATCACTTGTGAGTTTAGCAGTTCCATTGGAATGGAGCTGGGGACGGATAAGTGTGCGGTCCTCCATGTTGAGAGGGGAAGGGTTGCTAACTCTGAGGACATAGATTTATCTATGCCCGTCAACTTAAGGACCCTTTCCGAGGCTGAAACATACCGATACCTGGGTATGTCACAGAACATCGGTATCGATGAGGCTGGTGTGAAACAGTCAGTTTGCGACGTGTTTTATGCGCGCTTGACCAAAGTGCTTAATAGCCTTTTGTCCGGTGTGAATAAGACACACGCATATAACGGTTGGGTCATGCCTGTCCTTATGTATACCTTTGGCATACTCAGGTGGACTCAGACTGAACTTAACGCCCTGGATAGAAAAGTCCGCACTACCATGACGTCCCATAGGATGCATCATCCGAGATCGTCGGTAATGAGGCTGTACTTGCCGCGAAAGCATGGTGGGCGTGGCTTTCTAAGCGCGCTCACTACGCATAATCGTGAAGTGTGCAGCCTCCGTCATTACTTCCTGGCGAGATCGGATGATCCATTCTATAATGACGTCATTTCTAGTGATAAAGGGCTTACCCCTCTATCCTTGGCCAACGAGCAATGGCAGAACCCAGCAGTGCTTAGCATTTCCGACCGGGAGACCGTATGGAAGGAGAAGGAGCTCCACGGGAGGTACTACAGGGTTCTACATGAGCCCTTCGTAGATACAGTCGCTTCCCTCAACTGGCTACGTTTCGGTGACCTCTTCGGGGAAACCGAGGGTTTTGTCTGTGCAATACAGGATCAGGTTATTAAGACCAACAACTATCGGAGATACATCCTAAAGGATGGCACCGTCGACGTCTGTCGAGCTTGTCGCCATCCCGGGGAGTCACTTAGACATGTCATCTCCGGTTGTTCGGCGCTTTCTAACTCTGAGTACTTTCACAGGCACAACCTAGTAGCCAGAATTCTACACCAGGAGCTCGCTCTGAAATACGGTCTCGTGGACCGGAAATTGCCGTATTACAAGTACTTGCCGGAAGCCGTGCTCGAAAATGACCGCGCCAGGCTCTACTGGGACCGGGCCATCATCACAGACAGGACTATTCTTGCAAATAAGCCTGATATTGTGCTGATGGACCGGGCACAGTCAAGGATATTTTTGGTCGACATTACCATTCCGTATGACGAGAACCTCGTGAAAGCCGAAACAGATAAGCAAACAAAATATCTGGACCTGGCTCGCGAGGTGACCGACATGTGGGGTGGTCTGCCGACCGAAATTATTCCTGTAGTCGTCTCTGCAAACGGGCTAATCCCAGTCAGCCTCTCGGGTCATCTGAGGCGACTGGGACTCCGTGACGGACCGCTCCGGGCTCAAATGCAGAAGGCAGTGGTCCTCGATACCGCCCGCATCGTCCGTCGGTTTCTTTCCCTTTCCCCCTAACCCTCGGCCGTTTGGTCTCCCCTGCCGAGGGCTTCCATCTGGTTGGATCTTTATTTATTTGTGTATTTTTTGTATTTATTTTATTTTATTGATATTTATGTATATTTATCTTTTCATTTTAATTTATAATTATATATTTATAGAAACCAACCAGATGAGAAAACTATACAGATACCCCAAAAATAATAATAATAAAACCATTTAATCAACTCAACAAACAACACTTGCAAAAAATAAACAATCAACATGTACATATGTAGAAAACAACAAGTATAATTAATATTAGCGAAAAATAAAAAAAGAAGAAAAACTATAACATTCAACAAAAAATAAAAACTATGTACAGGAAATGTGAGCGTTTCAATGCTGAGTCGATAGGGTCAGCTGCTCAGCATAAGCTGACACCCCCATTGGGATGACCAGCGCTGGTATTCTGCAGAAACCCGTGTGTGTGTTAACGCGTCGGTCAGTGGCAGATGCGAGAGTGGAATTCTTAATGTAACGAAGGCGTAAATAAAATTGAATATTAATCATTTCCAGCTAATTTCTTAATGTAACAAAGGCATAAATAAAATTGAATAGTATGTGAGAAGTGTATAATTAACAATCAATAATGTGGCAACCGCGATTTTTACATAAAATCGTAAACTCAACATATAATATAACCTAGTTGTATTATATGTTGAGGTTGTAACCTAGCATAAAATTCGACGGCGACGATGAGGTGATGTGTGCTGTACTGTAACGGTATTTTTCGAGTCCCAAAATCAAATCTTTCTTTCCAAGGCAATTAACCAACTTGCAGAACGCTATTTAAGGTGTAATATTAGCTTAAAAGACGATTACGTTGAAAAATAAACACAATTTACCTATACTTATCCTCGACTTTAATTGAGTTTCCAAAAACTTATTGATCAACCTAGTATATATACATATATTCGAAACAAGTCGACAATAATTGAAATTCTAGGTGAAAACTGTTCGTGCTTGACCGAATTTTGTAATCCCTAACGTTTAGTACGTCATCTATACCGACGGCTCGTGTGTCATGACACTTAAAATTAACGGTCACGATACGGAAGGCAGGCGTCGATTATAATATATCAAAGAGCCAATATTAACTGCGTTTTAATCCAACATAAACAGCGAAAGGACGTCGTATTATTTTATTAACTAATCACTTACTTTAATTTGCATTCAAACTTATGCTCACTTCATCCAAAACTCACACAAACGCGAACTTAGGCGCCTGGCATACGCAACTTATACACACGAGTAAATAATTAATGTTCTCGCTCACACAAGCACTGTTGCCTTCGGAGTTTGTAGCGAAGCCTTTGAAAATTTAAATCCGCAAACACGATACGCGTGCTAAAGGCGTTTTCAGTGGTTATTATGAGCCATATTTACCTACACAACATTAATTTAATGGCCGCCAGTGAGAAAGTAAGATGAAAGCAACTCAGTCTTATTTTATTTGACTAATAACTTTTAGAATAATGCTAGTTCTCAGCAGTTTAGTTAAATAAATACAATAAGTAATTAATAAAGTTGTATAACATATAAATTATATTTAAAAAAAAGAGTACATATCATGTAAAACATATTATTATGTTGTTTTCCAATGTCTTTCTTTACTACGGAGTTCCTAATAAATCAGCATTGTAAAGTTCAATATATTAATTTATTTAAAAAAAAATAGTTCACATCATCCATACGCTAGATATCGACACAGAGTGACAGAGGACATCATCATAGTCACAAAAGCACCTAATATATTTTATATTAAATAAGGGTAAAACGAAAAGAGTACAAAAGAAACTATATCTGCTTTATTGAATCTGAAAATCTGATTCATAAAATATTTTGAAATTCTGTTTTCACACCGATTGCTTCTGGAGCATAGAGTTTTATCGTGGTAGCCCCTCATTATAGTTGTATCAAGGATGCAACATAAATGCATCGATCTAACATCGATTGACCAGAAAGGGAGCTAATTCTAATTTTATTAAAAAACGCGGTACCCATGTACAATACAGAAATGCTCGATATCGTAGGGTTAATATTAAATGTAGAAGGGCCCAATAATAATACAAGTCGACCTTTAGGTAAAATTATGGTATTTTCGCTTAGTATTATTACGAAACTATGTACTAGAAACTATGAAATAATTGTGCAATTAGGATAATTATACTACGAAATCCGACCCTGGTTACGTCGTGTTTTGATATGACGTTTGTTTTATGATAGATGCGCTACTTTTTCTTGTATGAAAAAGTTATGAGTAAAATATTATTAGATTATTAGATGGGCCTATCCTTCCTTTTGAAATCATTGCCTATAGCATCGTATTTATCTTCCCTTTGGTACTTTTATCTTTAGAAAAACCGTAATGAAATAATTCGTTTATCGAGAAATGACATAATAGCTGAAGCTAATTAAAATTACTTTTCAAAAATATTGATAAGTAATGGTGATATAGCTATAGAAAGAAAAATACTTAGTGCGATCGTTTTTACTACCAGATTTATACAAAGGAAAATTCTTCGGTCTACGGTAGTATTTAGCAGTGGTTTGTAGCGTTTTAGTGGTGGACCATTTGACCGATTTCTTGCATTGTCATCGACCACCAACTGTTGACAATATAAAAACTTTTTAAAAAAAAATTAAACCGCCGAACAAACTGAAAAGCAAAAGACAGTAAACCTTTCTCTTTTACCTTAATAACTAAGTTCTTAAACTAATGTAAATGAACCTAAGTATATATTTTGGAAATTATTTTGAGTTTTTAATTAACATTAATAACTAAGTTCTTAAACTAATGTAAGTATACCTAAGTAATTTTGAATCGTTTAAAATATTAACATACATTTTAAATATTCAATTGGTTAATCCGTGTAGTAGGGTAGTTACCTATAGGAAGTGAATACGGGAAATGCCAGAAATATCTTATAATGGCTTGGGATAGATTATGGCAAAAATATCTTGTTTATATCCTAAAATACCTAGACCAGCAATGAGAACAGCTAGTGTTATTTAAATGAAAAAGATTTTTTTCTGTCATGAATTCTAACTAATAATAAAATATTGAAATTATAAGTAAATTTAAAAGGTGGATACTGTGGCCCAAAGACACCTTAAATTTATCTTTAATTAAGAAACAATATGCAGATGCGTTGTCACCCCTGAGGACTAAGATGGAATGCCTCGTATCTAGTAGAAAAAAAGAGAAAGAAGAAAGAAAGAAAGAAACATTTATTTGCACAGAATACAGGTGGTACCAGATTTAGCAGTGGTGCATAGTTCAAGCTATATTTGAGGCATTCAAATATTTATAATTATATAAGATAATTAAAATACTATTATATTACTTACAAAAATGTCAAGTTATATTATTTATTATTATCGCATTTGTTGAGCAAAATCCCATGATCTACAAAATCAAAAGTCTTACTCATATCAAAGAATATGGCTACCACCGGAATTTTCTCATCAATGTATCCAGTTATATTTTGTTGCTAAAGAAGTTGATTTATTGTGTTAAAAACCATTCTGTTCTTTTTTAGTAATATTATGTTTATTAAGGAATTCAATTAACCTGTTGTAAAAAACCCTTTCAAAATTTTTGATATAATAGGTACAAATGTAATAGGACGATAGTTATTAGGTTCCTTTCAGTCACCTTTCTTGTACAATGGTTTAATAATAGAGTGCTTTAATTTATCTATAAATATTCCTTGATTCAAGTAATTTGTGATTATATGGTTAAGAATGGGGGCAATGACACGAGCACTTGCTTTAATTATTTCTGTAGATATAGTCATACCCCACAGCTTTGGTGTTATTTAATGATTTAATTATATTTAAGATTTCAAGCTCTGAAGTAGGTATCAAGAATGATGATTCATCATTAACATTTATTGATATTTTTTGATATTGTTCGTTTGGCACATCTGAATTATTTCTATTACTAATATTAATAAAAAAATCATTAAAAATGTTGCTATTTGGATAGGATTGTGAATTATATTTCCATCATTTTGTATTGATTTCACGCTGTTGATCGAGTTGATACTATTATTTTTATCTTTTATTATATTCCAAGTGGCTTTTCCTTTATTTTTGCGCGCTTAAGATGTTTTCAATTAATATTTTTTGACCATATTATGTATTTCTTTAATATTTTTCCATAAATATTATATTTTTCAAGTGCGTCTTGTTTCTTAAATTTGTAATATGAAAACCTTATTTGTCTTTTAATGGCACTGGTTTTTCTCAGGCCTTTAAGATCCATGCAGGAGATCGACTGTTAAGTTTTAAGACTGTGAAGTTATTTTAGATTTATAATAGGGAAAGCATAACTCATAATACAATGTAAGTTCTTGATGAAAAATACTAAATGATTTATTTACGTCTGATTCCGCGTAGACTTCAAGCCAATCATCTAATTGTGGATATGTAATATAGAAATTTTTCTATATTTTCATCACTAAAACCTCTTTTTTAACGTACCAATATTGTGACTTTTTTCACACTTTCCTGGAAATTTTAATACATGCGTGGTGTCGTGATCAGATAGATATAGCTAGTTTCCTGTACCTACCATATGCCTCTTCATGATTACTTGATATGAGATCTATACTGCTATTTTGTCGTGTTAGCTCGTTTATATGTAAAGTTAAATTAAAATTTGAGAGGATATTTTAAGGTAATTGTATTTTTATTATTTAATATTATATTAATGTTTAAATCACCTGTTAGTATGAATTTTTATTTATAATTTTGAATCTTAACAGTATTTCTAATTTATTAAAAAATGAATTAATGTTAGATGTAGGTGTATTACTGTATTTAAGCTGGGGATTTCTATCCCGCAACATTCAAATATATTATCACAAGAGCATTCTTTACATACTTCTATTGGCTTGCAATCAATTGCGCAATACGAGGGGCACATTGAAATGATCGGGAATAAGAAAAACCACATGCACGGTATAGCTAAGTTGTATTTTATTTAATGATTTCTTATATTTACGCGAACACTATACATGATTAAAAATACTTTTACGGATTTTATCTCGTTTATTTTTACTTTTTATTTACTTTTATTTTTAATTCCCGACGTTTCGGTCGCTTTCCAGCACCCATGGTCACGGGGGGACTGAGATGACTGACGTCCCGATGTCATTGTTAAACCCGGAGTACCTTCAGCTTTTTTAATTATTGTTTATGGTCCGATCTATGCAAAATGAACTGACTATGTCCTGAGGTCTTGCAGTGGTATGCTTGGGTTTAGTTTTAATTTTATTGATTATAGGATCCCAAGCAGGTGGTAGTACCCAGCCTCCTTCTCTATTGAAATTAGGATGTTTTTTAATTTCAATAGCCTCACGTATCATCCTTGGTAGGAATCGGTGTTCTTTCGCGAGGATTTGTGGTCTATCAAATCTGATGTAATGGTTGGGTCCGTCTAGGATATGATCACAAACTGCAGACTTCCCGGAACGTTGATGCTTCACATCAGCTATATGTTCTTTTACGCGGGTCCTAATTGATCTTTTTGTTTGTCCTATATAACATTGATTGAATTCTTAGCAGTCAGCCGCCGTAGAGTCTATATTACCTGAGGATGCCTCGTGTAGAGGCGAAACACGTGTCGTATTATCGTCGATGGTGTGTCTTGCCTGGAATAGTGGTGTTGAGAGTAGTGGTGCTTGGTCTAGTGGTGACGGAGTTAGTGTATGCAATTGAGGGAGGGCGGGAGGTGCGCTTCAATCCAGGTAAGACACATCATTTTATATGTTTAGCGGAAAGTTGCAAAGAAATTTATATTTTTATTTTTTATGTAAACCTAATGAAATAAGTATCTAACGACCTATCTACTTACAGTATTAGTGATTAAAAACATGTCGGTACATAGCATACGACGCGAGGCGAAGTGGGGGCGAAATTAGAATTTTAGCTGACTTACTATATCCCCTTAACAGAAAAAAAGATGTAAACAATGACAAAGTAAGTTTTAGGGACGGTATTAAACGGATACGATGTTACTGGTGTCGCCATCTATTGGTATAATGTCATACATTTTGTCAGATCTCCACTCCAGTTTATAAAAAGTACTCTGTGATCTCCACTACTTATGTTCAAATTGTTTTCTTGTAGATTTTTTTGTATTTTCTTCTTTATTAAAGAATAAGTGATTTTTTTAACTTGTGGTGAACTTGTACAAATTTGTTTTAACTGCAGAATTTTCCGTACATGTTCATTAATTTGCTGTTTAAGATTGCTGTTTTCCGAGTTTAAATTATCTATTTCAGCATGTGCTATTTGTAGTTGCTCCTGTATTTTTAATATTTGCTATTTGTAGCACTCACAGTCCCCGTTATATAACTTTGCAGTGGATAAATCTGGTAAGCTTCTTGCCAGATAATCTCTGTTTGTCGATATAAATGACATGTTGTTTAGTGATTCATTTAATTTTTTGGTCTTTTGAGAACGAAAGGTAACATTTTGGTACCCCATTTCCGTCTTTACTAATTTCAAGTCTATTTTGTTTCTGTATAGCAATGTTATTCAATGCCCTCTTTCGGCTAATCACAGTGCCATATTAGTATTATAATATCGATGAACTGTGCTAGTTTAGCTATACTTCGAACGAAGTCATACAATATTTTTGTTTACGAATGAGTTGACCGGTTTTTGATTTTTGAAACGATTTATATTTACCACACACACTCTTTAAAAGATTATTTGATCTTTTTATGCACTCTCAAAATCCGATGGGACGGAAATCTAACACACGGCTGGAGAGATCGGGCGTAGGACCAACGGCTTTACGTGCTTTCCGATGGACGACGGTTAAACACCACCAACTTCCTAACTCCGTACTGCTCGTGGGAATTTCTTGACAGAAAAACCCACATTAACTAATTTTGGCCCGACCCGGGATTCAAATCCGAAACCTCAATATCAGCAACTGCGTTTACGCCCACTAGACATGAAACAAAACAAAACTAAAATACATAAACTGTTTATTTTATAATTTGTTATTTCAATTTCACAAAAAACAAATCATACAAAATAATGTGTTCACACGATAAAGCCATCTTAAAAATGTAATTTACGATACATAACTCTATGTACAAAAATATTTTACAGTAAATTTTCGAAAGCAAATTAAACTCCAATTACAGATAATACCACAATAGCATAAGAGAACACACTACCCAATATCACCCCGTGGGTTGTTTCCTGATAACAGCTGAAAAGTTATTAAAAAAAACTGTTTACCAACACCAAGCCAGATATATTTGCCAAGCGTGGCAAATATGGCTGGCGAATAAGCCCCCTATGATACTATTTGCTGGTTCCCCCCAACTAATATGTTCAGCAGTGGATTTTTACCAACATGTCGAATTCTATGCTTTTTATGTAAGCTACCG